CAAGCGTTGCCATCCAGGCCGTCATTTGCGATGAGTCCTCCAAATTGCTTGGTACGTCTTGCCACTTGATTCATCAAACACTTGAAGGCTCCGGATCTTTGTTGTCCGAGTGGGTGATTCTCAGGGTCAGCGATGTATTCTGTCGCAGTCTTCTCCAGGATGCCGGAGGCTGCTTCCGCAAGGTGTCATGAGCTTCCAGTACTGCGACCTCGTCATCTCGTGGGGCTTTTCATCAAGACAACACAAGGCGCCAATGACGACTCTCTCAGGCTGTCCCGGAGCTCTTGGCACACACGGGATCGACACGGGGAAACCAGCGTAGAACCGAAGACTGCGCATCGTCACGGGCGCGATGTGGTAGAACCGCATATCCGCCTCAGCGTGACGGACGAGCAACGGCTTATCGTCCATGACAAAGTGCTGACAGAATGTTTGCTCGCGCGGATTACCGGTACCGACGTCCCAGTATTCCGGTGCGTTGGTCGCCAGCAGAGTCACCACATCACGTTCAACAAGTGTGACGACGCTGTGAGGGGCCTTCATTTCTGCCGCAGCCAGTGAGCAGATCACGTTGAGTTCAGAGACATTGGCGACGTCGTGGAGACGGAAATGCTCAATCGCGGCCATGCGAACCTCCTCGTTCGCTGGAATGGGGTAGATAATCGGCTCTGGCTCCCCCTCCTTTGACTCTTCTTCGTTCTGGACAAGAGCCGGCATCATCGGATACGGACGGGAGTCGGCACTCGCGAACTTGCAGGCGTCCAGCTCCGTCGGACGTTTCGAGATGTCCATCGCTCGCTTGGCTGCTTCGGTTGGCTGTTGACGGTCACTCGCAGCGTTGAGAAGATTGGCATTCATGTCAGTTTGGCTCTGGTCTTGTTTTTGGTCAATTAGCAGAAGCTGCTCGAGCACCAGGAAGGCAGCACGACGCTGTGCAAGCGCAACTTGATCCGAGTCGTCACACACGACTTGGGTCAGTAGGTCTCCGAGTTTTTGGCTCGACGGCGAGTCGGAGAAGCGCGAGGACTCGGACGCGGCCGTGCTGGAGGTGTCGAGCGTACAGACGGAAGATGGCGTCGACACTTCATCTCGGGCAGCTACTGAGTGCCGTGCACGGATTGGAGCTCGCATACCACACAGCAGCGACTGACCGGCCTGTTCGAAGACAAAACGGAGACTGTCCGATTCCAGAGTTTATGGATCGAAAAAGTTGCTTCAGAGTTACTTTCGATTCGAGACAACGTTCGACTCGGGCAACTTCGGCACAGATGGACGCTGGACGCACCTCGAAGATACCACCATGATAGTGTCCATCGCGGAACGATTTGTGCAGAACGAGCCGGTGGGCGACCATGAATTACGGGCGTATCCAAACTCATCGCCTTCCTATAGGTAGTTAGCGAAAAAAATGTCACTATCGGCTTGACTGAAGAAGAAACGACAATTCCGGTCGGGAGTCAACCGGCATTCTCGAAGTGGCCAGTTAGCTATGTTGTTTCACTTCCAGAAAGCAAAACATTTTTGTATTTTCTATGAGTTGCAGTCATGATTCTCGTCGTGGTTTCGCCTCATATCCGATGCTCGGATGATAGTTTTGTCTGAACTTCTCCGGAGCTAGCTCGGGCTCGTGATGAGCTAATTCGGAAGAAGAAATACTGATACTCTGCCAAATTTCTTTTTTATCCATATTGATTTGCTTTATTTGTAATCTTTTTTTCGTGTTCGGATTCAATGAAATCTGCCCTTTTTGAAAGCAAAAGGCTGTGTTCGCTACTGTTACATTGTGCAATGTAACAGTAGCTGCAGTAGCTTACAATAGTAATCCACTGAACAGACAATTCCCTCGCTAGTCATCTGGTCGAAAGACCGCTTTCCGCCTTTTTTACTCCTACTATCAGTAGGCTACTACAGAGCTGTAGTATTTAATAAAGGGGGTGTAACGTCATCCTAAATAATAAAGGTCATACCGGCTACACAGTCACTCCAGAGCAATACAAGTGAAATGTGCTGTACATGTCAATAGCTTGTACCAGGGTACCTTGTAAGTGAGTGTCTGCTCCAAAATGTAAATTTGGTCGAGATTGACAACGAGATAATTTATAAGTTTCTATCAAGACAAATTCATTTCCGTCGGCCGCGATAAACCTGCAAGAAAACAGTAACAAATAGCTACAGTATTCAGATCCTACATGATCACCTTCAGCCCTGATCAACGCAAAGCTACGTTTTCGAATGAGGGACCGACTCATTCGAGTTCGTGATGTTGTGAAGTGAGTCTTGCTTCCTAGGAATATAGCTGCTGTGACCAGATGGTGATATTACCTTGTTGTTTTTGTTATTACTCTCATATGTAAACAGGACTCCCGATTAATGCATAAATAACTCCTCCAACCCGACGTGCTGCATAATGCAGTTTTTTTTCATAAACTGCATTATGCTGCATAAGAGCAATTTAGACTTGAAATTGTATTGAGCGTATTTTTCCTCGCCAGCGGGTATACAAACTTTAAGATAAGCGATCTTGGCAAAATGATCTTTTTCTGTTACATAAGCAAAACCCGATCTGTCTTCTGGCAAGAGAAAGTCGCTCATATTTTAGAAAATTGAAACAAACAACTTTGACGCGCATCAGCAAATTTGACAGGTAACGGCTGACAGCCACTCGCCGACGGAGGGATATTTTTTTCATTTTTTTTCGAGATTTTGCGCGCCTAGGACACAAGTGGAGACACAAGATGGTGCGAGCCCGACACAAACAAGTTCGTGACCCACGCAGAAACATCGTGTGTCCTTTCCTCGCGGTCGACAGAGGGGGGATGCGCCCCCCCCCACCCAAATAAAGGGAGTGTGGAACAAGAGAGCCCAGTACAAGAGAGTGCAGAAGAAGAAGCCAGTAACAGTAACGAGGTGAGTGGCCGACGCAACGAGAGAACAGTAACAGAGGAGCCGTGTTACCTGAGAGAGATA